AGCAAGGGATACAGGGCTTCTCATGTGCGAAGTCAGGCCCTGAGCTGGGTGTTCCATGAAAACCCTACTCAACGCACACATCATGAGGGCTAGCTGCCCAGTGCCCCAGGGAACCAACGCAGCCCCTCAGAAACATCGTGTTCATAATGACTTACATTCTACAATGGCTTATATTCTTGGAAGCTGATTTCATTGCTGTTGTTTTGTTCCAGCGAGTCAGTTCCAACTCATAGTGACCCCATGTACAACAGAACAAAACACTGCCTGGTCCTACACTGACCCTCTGCTTTAGCAAGCATGATGTCCTTCTCCAAGGACTTGTCCCTCCTGATAACATGTCCAAAGTACTTGAGATGAAGTCTCGCCATCTTTGCTTCTGAGGAGCATTCTGGCTTCCAAGACAGATTTGTTGATTCTTCTGGTGGTCCATGGTGTTCTTCACCAATACCATAATTCAGGGGCATCAATTATTCTTCGGTCTTTCTTATTCATTGTCCAGCTTTCACATGTGTATGAGGCGATTGAAAATACCATGGCTTGGGTCCTGTGCCCCTTAGTCGTCAAGGCGACATCTTTGATCTTTAACACTTTAAAGAGGTCTTTTGTGACACGTTTGCCCAATGCAATGCATTTTTTTATTTCTTGACCCCTGCTTCCATGGGCATTTATTGTGGATCCAAGTAAAATGAGATCCTTGACAACTTCAGTCTTTTCTCCATTTATCATGATACGGCTTTTTGGTCCAGTTGTGAGAATTTCTGTTTTCTTTATGTTGAGGTGTAATCCATACTGAAGGCTGTGGTCTTTGATCTTCATCAGTAAGTGCTTCAAGTCCTCTTCACTTTCAGCGAGCAAGGTTGTGTAGTCTGCATATCGCAGGTTGTTAATGAGTCTTCCTCCAACCCTGATGCTGTGTTCTTTTTCATATAGTCTAGCTTCTCAGATTATTTGCTCAGCATACAGATTGAATAAGCGTGGGACTTTTAAATAGCCTTCTCAGGAGGGCAGGCCGGGGGCTCTGTCAGACTTGTCACAGTGTAGGAAGGGAGCAGAATCGCACAGGAACACGCCCAATCTGGGCCACATCCTCCACCGTGCCGGCCACCCTGTTAGACCCTTGCACATCCGAGTCCTGTTGCCTCTTCCAGTACTCAGGTGTGGGGCTGAGGTCACTGCTATTCTGCAGAAGACTGCATGGGGCTGTCTTCAGTCCTCACCACCCCATGCTAGGAGGTGTGGCGGCCTCACCTCACACCTCGCTGGCTGAGATCTTTGGCATGTGGGTCCTGGCTAAGGTTCCGTTCAAGGAGCCAGGCCTGGCACTTCCCCACTATTGCAGGTGGCCTCAGACTTAACAGAGTGCAGAGAAGTCACCGTGTCTCCCTCCCCGCTGGGGCCAGGAGAGAGGAGGGATATTCTTGCTCTCCAGAGCAGGTTTGTTTCAGGGCTTGTGAAGGCACTAATTGACGCCAGCCCAGAAGCCTCTGCTGGCAGGTGGGGTCCAGTGATCACCCTGGCCTCTGAAATACAGCTGCCGGGATGTGCCGGGGTGGAGGAAGGATGCCCTGGTCCCACTACTGCCACAGCTCAGCCCACTGCCCCAACCTCACCCCATGCCTAGCTTTAACTTAAAAGAAAAAAACAGTTGCCATTGAGCCAAGTTCAACTCATGGTGACCCCATGTGTGTCAGAGTAGAACCGCCCTCCATAGGGTTTTCAATGGCTGATTTTTCGGAAATAGGTCCCCTGGACTTCTTAGGCGCCACTGGGTGAACTCGAACTTCCAACATTTCAGTTAGCAGCCGAGCACATTAACCATGAGAACCACCACTCCAGCATCAGCTTAGAACATTATCATCTCTTGCACAGAGCCAGGACTTGGGAGGGAACCTGACCTCTCGTCTGGAATCTTATTTGATCAGTGCCATTCAACAGCCATCAGTTTAAGTGAACTCACCCCTGCACTTGGCATTGGACGTACAGGGTCAGTAAGATCATCTTGGGTCCTACTCATTACAAAGAAGACAAATGTAAGTGAGACCACGTTACACCTCTGCTCCAACCCTACAGAGGAATGAGACTGAGTTTCTAACCTCATGCAGCTCCCAGTCCAGGGTGGGAGACAGCTGAGTAAGCTATGCAGGCAGAGCAAGTTCCGGGCACTGTGGGAGCCAGGACCACCCCAACCCCTTCTGGGAGTGGGCAGGGCTTCCTCTAGGAGTCAATGCCAGCTGAGCCTTGAAGAATGAGTAACAGCCAGCTGAGGAAGCAGGGTGGGGTGGATTTTCTGGACAGTGCTGACAGCCTGGGCAGAATCCCAGAGGCAGGAGAAAATGTGACTGTGGTCAGTCACATTGTTTCAAGTTATTAGTAATCTGTCTTATACAATAAAGGGAATTTATCCTCTCATGTAACTGGAAAGTCAAGGTGTTGGGTGGGCTGCAGGAGTGGCTAGATCAGGGTGATAGCACCATTCATCTGGGCCTTGTTCAACTCTAACTTCTTCCATATGAGCAAGCCAAGTGGCTACCACCTCCCTGGCTACCTCATCCAAACAACAAACCACCCAGAGCAAAAGAAAGTTTCATTCCTCCCTACAAAAACTCAAAGTTTTACTCTGATTGGATCAGTTAGGACACACACCCATCCCTGGGCCGAATACTAGGGTAAGAAGGCTGAGAACTCTCCGCCCAGCATTGTTCAGTCAGAGTGTAGCCTTGAAAAGGTAGAGGTTCATCTAACTCAAATGACAGAGCTGCTTCCTGATGGGGGAGAGGTAGAAGGGACAACTGTGTACACCAGGGCACCACTGGGTCTCAAATCCAAGCCAGCTTGTCATGAGAAGTGGAAAATGGAGCAGTGGGCAGGACCAGATCAAAATGACCTTGACATCTGAGCTGAGGAGCTTGGACCTTAACCTTCAGGCAAAGGAGTTGGAGATGAGGAAGCTGTAGGGAATTGAACCAAACTCTTCTTGAGCCCTGGATATTTCCAGAATGTGAGTGTTGAAGTAATCTGGTTTTGAGCTGCCCCTTTTCCTACCCAAAGGTAATCGATCTGCCTTCAACCTTCACTTTCCTTGAAAAAAATTTGCTGCTTGTTAACAATGTACATGTTGAGGACTGGGAGGAACTGACCAGGCAAGTGCGGGCTGGGCGGGGGGGAGGCATTCCAAGCAAACACCAAGGAGACCAGGCTGGAGTGCAGATGTGATAGCAATTGCTGCCTACAGAAGTCCCAAAAGGTCAGTAAAGTCTGGGAAATCATGGTATGGGCATTAGAAGAACCCCCATTTGCTTTCTTGATTGAATATACTCCCCTTTTTCTATGTCCCTCCAACGGTGATAATCAGACGACCAGTTAACAAGACAAGGTGTCACCTCCAGATAAAAGTCCCCAGTTTCTGGCTCCCCAACCCCTCTAGGTTCTCGGGGTGGGGGATGGTGCATGGACTCAGAAGGCTGTGGATTTGAACTCAGATCCTGCTTCTCCTTTCTCTGTGATCTGGGGCAAGTCCTTTTATTTCTTTGACTCTCAGTTTCTTTCAAGTACAAGACAGATATTAGTATTTACATCTAGCTTGTGGTGTTTTAGAATTATCTGAGGGATAGATACGTCTGAATGTACTATCATGTCTGGTACTTACTAGATCGTCCAAGAATATTCATCCGTTCACAGATTGAGAAAGGAATTGAAATTTAGAGATTGCCTAATAGATACCGGAGACTCAGCATCTGCCATCTTATTTTATCATCATAACCAAGGACCAGGAGAGTGGAATAACTTGCCCAAGGCCACACAGCCAGTAAACGATAATTTGAACCGGGGTCATCTAAAGTCCACTCTATGGAACCGAAACTAATTGGCAGAGGTTGCATTCCAGGGTGTGGAGCTGGAAGGCAGAAGCCCGGGTTACTTCCTAAGCATGCCATTGCTATTGTTGTCATCATGGTTGTTGTTGCTGGAACTCAATCCGGGAGAGAGTGAAGGAGAGAGGAAAGGCCCGTGTGGTTAGCACTCATCCTGTGCTTTACCCCGTGCGTCCTCGATTCATTTCACAAACTCTCATTGAACCCTTAAACCTCCCAGACTCTGGTGGCAGGAAAGAAGAATGGAACACCTTCTGTGCCCCTTAACAACCTTGTCAAATAGGCTTTGCCATCCCGTTTGACACTCGCACACACTGAGGCTCAAAGAGGGTAAAGAAATCATCCATACCAAAAAACAAAAAAAACTCGCTGCCATCAAGTCGATTCTGATTCATGACAACCCCATGTATTACAGAGTAGAACTGCTGCATAGGGTTTTCTTGGCTGTAATCTTAACAGGAGGAGCCCTGGTGGAGCGGTGGTTAAGCACCGGGCTACTAACTGAAAGGTCAGTGGTTTGAACCCACCAGCCATTCCTAAGGAGAAAGATGTGGCAGTCTGCTTCCATAAAGATTACAGCCATGGAAATCCTACAGGTTTGCAATCGACTCAACAGCGATATTGTTGTTAGGTACCCTCCAATCTGTTCCCACTCATAGTGACCTTATGTACAACAGAATGAAACACTGTTATGCTTGAGCCCATTGTTGCAGCCACTCTGTCAGTCCATCTCGTTGAGGGTCTTCCTCTTTTTCACTGACCCTCTACTACAAGCATGATGTCCTTCTCCAGGGAGTGGTCGCTCCCAATAACATGTCCGAAGTACCTGAGATGAAATCTCACCATCCTTGCTTCTAAGCAGCATCTGGCTGTACTTCTTCCAAGACAGATTTGTTTGTTCTTCTGGCAGTCCACGGTATACTCAATACCCTTCATCAGCACCATAATTCAAAAGCACCGATTTTTTGGTCTTCCTTATTCATTGTCCAGCTTTTGCATGCATATTAGGCAATTGAAAACGCCATGGCTTGGGTCGGGTGCACCTTAGTGTTCAAGGTGACATCTTTGCTTTTTTTTTTTTAACAAAAAGGTAACAGAATTTCACCGTTTTCTTCCTTCTTTTCTGTGCAGATGACAGACAGCTCTCAGTGCCTTCCTCACGTCGCTGGCGGAAGCATGGAGGAGACGGGGCTCTAATTAAGGATAACAGCAAACCATACTTTCTGGAGGAGGGTGGCAAAGACAGCTTCCTGTCATCCTGCACCAAACACCCTTCCTTCAAGGTCCTCACTCCTGAGGGATCCTGGACCATCAAGAAGATTAATTACCCCTCAATCTCTTTAGATAGGAAACGAAATCACTGTTGTTACATTTGATTAAAGCTTCAGCAAGAGACTTTATCAGCTCTCTCGGGATTACTGAAGGCACAGGCTACTTTATTTCCCGGAAAGACAAATTGTATGCAAGAAGAGCCAACACACCATGAGTGGCCCCCACAGCTTTTGTGATGCCCACAGTGAGGTTCAGCACCCAGGGGTAGCTGTCTCCCAGCAGCAGTGAAGTCGGCAAGCGCAGGCCTGAGGCCTCCGTGGGAATCCCAGCCTTCCCTTCTGATCGAGCCTCTGGCTCTGGGGCCTTTCATCCAAATTCCTCCCCTATTAAGAGTGGTTTCCTCCAGCCTGCTACTGGGAGGTACCCATCAGGAAAGCAAAAGATGGTGAAGGTAAAGAAAATGAAGTTGCTCACCTTCCTCATTCTCCTCATCTTCCTCACTTCCTTCTTCCTGAGCTACAACCAAACCATGGTGATCACCACCTGGTTCCCCAAGCAGATGGTCACTGGGATCTCGGAAAACTTCCAGAAGCTCATGAAGCTCCCTCATAGGTCCTGCACCTGCAGCCACTGTATCGATGAGCTCAGGGTCTCGCGCTGGTTCGACGAGAGGTTCAACCAGACCGTGCAGCCACTACTCACGATGCGTAACTCGCTCCTGGAGGAGGAGACCTACAGCTGGTGGCTGGTGAGAGCTGGGGTCGGGGGTAACCTTGGGAGGTATGACAGGCTTCCAGCAGCCAAGTGCACAGGCCCCAGCATGCACCTGGGACCCCGCCAGGCACTTAGCATGATTTAGGGTATAGTTTTTCATTCATTCAACACGTATTTATGGAGCATATACTATATATGTATGTTGGAGCTGGGGTACTGTATTAGTTTTTCATGGCTAATGTAACAAGTTACTGCAAACTTGGCGGCTTAGAACAACAGATGTGTATTCTCTCCCAGTTCTGGAGGCTAGAAGTCTGAAGTTAAGGTGTCCTCGATGTTGGTTCCTTGTGGAGGCTCTAGGGGAGAATCCGTTCCATGCCTCTCTCCTAGCTTCTGCTGACAGCTGGGGATCCTTGGCATTCCTTGGCTTGTAGACACATCACTGCAATCTCTGCCTCTGTCTTCACATCACCTTCTTCCTGTGTGTCTTCTCTGTGTCTCTCTGTGTCTCAGTTACTCCTCTCCTTTCTCTTAAAAGGACACTTATCATTGGATTGGGCCCCACCCAAACTCCAGGATACTCTCATCTCAAGATCTTTCACTGAATTGCTCCTGTGAAGACCCTTTTCCCATGTAAGGTCAGATTTGCAGGTTCTAGGGGTTAGAATGTGGACATATCTTTTTTGAGGGCCACTATTTAACCCACTACAGGTACCAAGATACAAGAAAAGGCAAGATCCTTACTCTCTTGGAGTTGTATTCTGGCAGGGAGAGACAGATAAGAAACAAATAAACAAGGTAGACTGAGAGGGAAGGACTCTAAGGAAGTGACAGTGAGGGTTGTGAGCCTTGGATGAGGCAGGCCCACGAGAGTCTCCATCCCTTGTCCCCCGGCTTTTGGGAAACAGGAATCAACTTGATGCCAGGCCCGGTGGCAGACCAAGTGGGCTGGAAGGAGTCTAGGTGAGAATTGCGGGGTCTTGAGCTCCGGCCTGCCTCTAAGCCTCATACCCACCTCAGTCACACAGGGAGCGTCACTCCTGCTAGCTAAGGAGACAATGGGGACAAATGTCCAGGCCCAAGTAGTAATACAGGAGGAATGACAAGACCTTACTCTCTCAGTGCAATTTACAGATCGCCACATGTGCGCTGTAGGCCAGGAGCCTGCGTCACCACATCCCCTACTGCGCACACTGCCCCCCACCCCCGTTGCTGCTGTCCTCTGTGAGCTCCTCCTCAGTCTCTGACCCCAGCCATCCAGGACAAGAGTCCCTTCTTCCCCAGTGACCACTTCCACCTGATATAAACCTTCTAGAACGGTGAATCCTCTCGCCCTCTTTGCTCCAGATTCCAGAAGCCAAGTGGATGGAACCCAGGGGAGCCTTCTGGAGGGAGAGGAGACTGCGGCCCCCTGCCCTAGTTCCTGCTCTTCTTCAGAGGGCCTTGCCCACCCCCAGCATCCATGCTCAGCCCACAAAGGCGCAGTAACACCCCCTAGCCTGACACGGAGTGCCAGCTCGGCCAGGAGGCCCCGGGCCAGACTTCGCGGCGTTACTCCTCTGGCCCCCAACGCAGCCCACGAGGGCGCAGATCTTTCATCCTCCCCACCTTGCCCTTACCCGGGTCACTCAGCTGATGAAGGGCACAGTTGAATCTCGCTGTGGTTAAAGGACACACTCTGAAGCCAGGCTGGGTGTGCAGCTAGCTTTCTGTGGATACACTCATGATATGTCCGGGGTGAACCCCTTCCCTAGGCTGGGCCTCAGTTTCCCCATGGAGGATTGGAACAGATCCAAGATTCCTGAAACGTGGGCTGCGGGCCACCTGTTACACACAGTACGATTCTAGGTGGCACAAGGCAGGCATTAGAGAACATGGCATCACAGAATGAGAAAGTAATCCCTGCCTTCATTCCTGTTCCGTCTTTCGGCACACAGACTTCAATTTGGGCCCGTTTCATTACGCGCCTCTTCTAGCACTTGCCAGTCTTCTTTCTAACAAAGAGAAGGCAGCTTGCCTGAGCGAGCGATGGGCTGGAGTGGGAATCGAATAGCATCATTTTGCTTTCATTACGTTTTGTACAATTCCTTTTTTACTTCTGCCAAGCAATCCAAGCTCTCCACCTGTGGTGGAGATGCAAGGTTTCCTTTTAAAATAAACATATTTACTTTTCTTTTGAAAGTGAGTCATTAAAGAAAAGTCGGCCAGTGATAGTCGGTGAGGGAAGGTACCAGAGGAGCCTGCAAGATGCACGTGATACACGCTGACTCTGACCTTGAGTCTTCAAACCGCAGGCCTCTGTGGCAAAGTGCACGTGGCACAGAGCAGGCGCTCCAGAGAAACTGTTGAAAGACGAATTAAAGAATGCCATGTGGGCCCTTGATTCAGTAAGTGCACTGTCAAGCTCCCTCCAGGAGCTCCCTGGCCAAGAGAGATGATGACATAGTGTGAGGGGCCTGTGGCCCTAAGCACATCTCTGCAATGTTGGAGCACACAGGGACCCTTCCTGGTTAGGGGCTCCCACCAAGGTTCCTGCAGGGGAGCTTGGCTGCGCCTTGACCCCGGTGGTTCTGAGTGTGGTCCCCACCAACAGCAGCATTGCCTGGGGGGCTGTGGGAAATGCCAGACCTCGTCCCTCCTCCCCCTGGCCCCTGGACCTGCAGACTCACGTTCTGTGTTAGCAAGACCCTGAGGTGATCTGCATGCACTCCGATTTGGGCACTGCCCTGGCCCATCAGATCAGAAGCAGGTGTTAGGTGGGACATTGTTGCCCGAAGCCTCCCCGTGACTGCTGATGGTCTCATGCTGTGTTTTTTGTTTCGGGCGGGGGTGGGGGTGGTGTCTTTGCCATGGCTTTAACGAGAGGTGCAGTCTGGCCCCCTGGTGTCCCACCCATTTAGGGTGTCTTAGTCTCCTACTGTTGCTGCAACAGAATTCCACAAGTGGGGGGCTTTAGAGAACAGAAATTAGTTTTCTCACAGTTCTGGAGGCTAAAATTCCAGATCAGCGTCTCAGCTGTGTCAATTCCTTCTTTGTCAGTAGTCACGGGCATTCCTTGATTCCTTGGCTTTCCTTAGCTCGTAGATGATCCTTACATGGTGCCTGTCTCCCCTGTGTGTGTGAATGTGTGTGTGTGTGTCTCTGCATCTATTCTGGTCGTTTTATAACTCAGAAGTGATTCGTTTTAGGACCCACCCTACACTGGTTGATAAAATTAGCATAACAAAAGAAAACCCTATTTCCAAACAGGATCACATCCATAGGCAGAGGGGTCATACTTTGAGGAACATAATTCCAGCCATACCAGATGCTGTTTCCTTCCCTCTGAGGTGGGCGCCAGCACCCCAGGTGTCTTCCTGCACACCCCCTGGGCACCAATCTCCTGGCGGTTCTCTCCCAGCCACTCCACAGTCCCTGGGGCTGGGTCCACCTCCCCGCACCCCCAGGATGGGGCTTCAGAAGGTCAAGATTAAAGGATTGGAGGCAGTGGTAGTGTTAGGGGGAAACTGGAAAGTGTGTTTCTAGAAGTCTGGGCTAAGTTGTGGTTTGAATTTGAGACACACAGCTCAACCTCTCCCTGCCCAGAGCCTCCTTCCTCATCTGTAGTTGAAGTGATATAACGCCGTGGCATGCTGACCCGGCTAATGTGATGCTTCTTAGGACATCTCTCCTGGGTTTCACTATGAGTGAGGAAGGCAGATGAGACCATCAATGGGTGGTCACTGCACAGTGTGGCCAGAGCACCACTGCAGTAGTGGATGGACACGGGCAGTGCTGGAAGGGGTATAAATGGGGTGACCATCTCGTCCCAGTTTGCCCAGGACTGTCTCGGTTTTAGCACTGACAGTCCCGTGTCCTGGGAATCTCCTCAGTCCTGGACAGACCAGGATGGCTGGTCACTGCCTTAGAGTCCTGGGGTTGCCGTAGCAAAGTACGCCAAACCAGGTGGCTTTAAAGAACAGACGTTTATTGTCTCACAGTTCTGGGGGCTAGGCGTCTGAATTGGGGGTCAGCAGGGCCATGCTCTCTCTGTTTGCCTAGGGGGAGATCCTGTCTTGTCTCTTCCAGCTCCTGGAAGCCCTGAGTGTTTCTGGTAGCCCCGGGTGTTTCTTAGCATTCCTTGGCTTGTAGATGCGACCTCACATGGCACATTCACATGGCGGCTTCCTCTCATGTGTGTCTTTCTGTGTCTGTTTTTCTCTTTCATAAGACGCCACTCAGATGAGATCAGGACCCACCCCACTCGAGTACGAGCTCATGTGAGCCTGACTGATCACGTCTTCAAAGAAAGGCCCTATTTCCAAACAAGGTCACATTCACAGGTATAGGGATTGTTGTTGTTAGGTGCTGTTAAGTCAGTTCCAACTCACAGAGACCCTGTGGACAACAGAACAAAACACTGCCCAGTCCCACGCCATCCTCACAGTCGTTGTGATGCTTGAGCCCATTGTTGCAGCCACTGTGTCAGTCCGTCTTGTCGAGGGTCTTTCTCTTTTTCACTGACCCTCTACTTTACCAAGCATGATGTCCTTCTCCAGGGACTAATCCCTCCTGACAACATGTCCAAAGTATGTAAGACGCAGTCTTGCCATCTTTCCTTCTAAGGAGAATTCTGGTTGTACTTCTTCCAAGACAGATTTGTTCGTTCTTTTTGGCAGTCCATGGTATATTCAATATTCTTCGCCAACACCACAATTCAAAGGCATCCATTTTTCTTTGGTCTTCCTTATTCATTATCCAGCTTTCACATACATATGAGGTAATTGAAAACACCCTTGCTTGGGTCAGGTGCACCTTAGTCTTCAAGGTGACATCTTTGCTTTTCAACACTTTAAAGAGGTCTTTTGCAGCAGATTTGCCCAATGCAATGCATCTTTTGATTTCTTGACTGCTGTTTCCATGGTTGTTGATTGTGAATCCAACAATTGTGGATCCAAGTAAAATGAAATCTTTGACAACTTCAGTCTTTTCTCCGTTTATCATGATATTACTTATTGGTCCAGTCATGAGAATTTTTGTTTTATGTAGAGGTGTAATCCATACTGAAGGCTGTGACTTCAAACTCATCTTTTTAGGGGGCATAATTCAATCCTTAACAGTCACCCTTGGGATAAACCTGTGTTCAACTCTGCCTAGGGGTCAGGAGGGGTGTGCTGGGGCAACTGACCTCTGAGCTAGGTCTTAGAAGATGAACAGAATTTACTTGAAAGACTTTGGAAGCCTAGAAACAGGACATGCAAAGAAGGGAGGGAAGGAACTTTGAGCATCCACAAACGCTGACCCTTTGGTCTGGCTGGAGCCCAGCAGTCCTGGGGCTGGGAGACTGAGGGCTGAAGAGATACGAGAAAGGAGCAGAGGCGGGCAGGAGGGCATGAAGGGTTCACTGCTCTTGGCCAACCTGGCCCAAGCTACCATGGGAGCTTGGAGTCCACAGGACATGGTGTCTGGAGTGGGCGGTGAGCGAAGGGGGGCAGGGAGGTTATTGAGGTTGACTTCCAGGTATTTGTGGCACTTAGGTGGTGGAGGGGCCATTCAGAGAGAGGTACCCCAAAGGAGGAGCAGACTGGGGACAGGTGATGGATTCCACTTGGTGCCTGGGAATGGGAGGGGCCGGTGAGGCCAGGAGTGGAATGAAGGGGGCAGGTCAAGCCCACCAAAGGAGAGATGAGCTGGGCTGCCTCAGCTTCTCAAAAGTGCCTCGCTTGTCTCAGCCAATCTCATTGTCTCAGGTGGCTGGACCAGCACCTAGCATGTCCTGCAGTACCCATCTTTAGGATGGATGGATGGATGGGTGGGTGGGTGGGTGAGTGAGTGAGTGAATACATGAATTAATGAATGAGTGCATGCTGCCTTTCTCTTATCTCCCCGAGTAGCCTGGGCTGTGTCTGAGCCCCTCCGTCCCCAGGCGCCCAGCAGTGAGAAGGACGCCCACATGAACCATGCTTAGTATGCTGAATGAGTAGCTGGAGGACAGCTCGGGGCCTGGCAGTGGGGCACAGAGCCCACCCTGACCAGAGTTCACAGCAGGCTAACCTGCCCCCCACTCTCTGCCCACAGCAGCTTCAGCAGGAGAAGAACCCCAAAAACCTGAACAACACCATCAAGGAGCTGTTCCGCGTGGTGCGTGGGGATGTGGACCCTATGCTGGAGAACGAGTTCGTGGGCTGCCGGCGCTGCGCTGTCGTAGGCAACTCGGGCAATCTGAAGGAGTCACAGTATGGCTCCCAGATAGACGAGCATGACTTTGTGCTGAGGTGAGTGGGCCCTGGCCCCAGCGCCCAAGCTGCACCCAGTGGGCCCTAGCCCCCAACCCCGCACTGTGCCCAGCAGGCTCCTTGGAGCCAAAGAGGGCATCTTGGCTCCGGGTCAGGAGGCCAAGCTTCCAGTCCTGGTTGACCTTGACTTCCCGGGAACCCCGGACCCATCACTGCCCACTCTGAGCCTCAGTTTCCCTGTCTCTGCTTTGAAGAATGGAGCTGGACTGAGGTGCCTCTTCAGGGAAAAAAGAAGAAGCTATGGTTCCAGATGCTGGGAGCTTAGCACAGACAGGCCCGTTGAGAGGATAAGCTGCATTTGAAGACTCTTGTTTTCTCTTTAAATTTCATCCCCATTTTATAATCCAGACCATAATATAACTCTATTTGATTTTAATGTCAAATATATTTCCCCACATCATCAAGTAAGATAGATATTCTGGGATGATACCCACTTCTATCCTGGGTTTCTTGTAATTCCCACCATACCTCTCACGAAATCCAAGAGCATAGGAGCCCCAGGGTGAGACATACAAGCAGAGGTGGGGCTGGCACTCCCCCAGGTGTCTTGTAGAATGCTCTCTTGTTCCTGTGATCTCTGACATTGTGTCCTAGACCACTCGCGTGGCCTCCAGGGGGCTCAGTGTGCCTGGTGTCCAGTGGGAATGCCCACGGGGAGGATGGAGGAAGAGTCAGGCTTGGAGCCAACGGTCTTGTATTTGAGGCCGTCACCTGGGAGCTCTGCAGCCTTGGACAACCTCTCTGAGCTCAGGGGTCCTCGGCCATGACATAGGATGGGAGTGCCTGCAGGGTGATCATTAGATTTAATGCAGTAGGTTGCTTGGCCGTGACAGTGCCCGGTACGTAGCAGGTGTTCAGTTAATGGTGACCATGATCTCAAGGTTTCTTTGAGATCATAAAAGAACAAGAAAGCCTTGGAGCTGTGTCATTATTGTCTCCCTTTTACAGATGAGGAAATGCACATGCTGCAATGCTTGTCCTTCTCTCCCTTCCTCCCAGGATGAACAAGGCCCCCACGGTAGGGTTTGAGGCCGATGTTGGGAGCAAGACCACCCACCATCTTGTGTATCCTGAGAGCTTCAGGGAGCTGGGGGAGAACGTCAACATGGTCCTGGTCCCCTTCAAGACTATTGACCTGCAGTGGGTAGTCAGTGCCACCACCAAGGGCACCATCTCCCAGTAAGTGGCCTCAAGGCATCTGGATGGGGTCCGCTGACTCGCCTCTCCCTGCTCCCTCCACACCACAGCAGGTGCCCTGTCTCCCCAACACGCCGTTCCCACCACCATGCCCTTGCTCAAGCAGTTCTCCCACCTGCAATGGCTCCCCTCCCCAAGCCCCACCTCCTACAGGCCACCTTCCCAGGCTATCCCAACCCCTATTGGCTCCTCTAGCCCTCCATCACTTTTAATATATGGCAGGCTTTAGCCTTCCTCCTCCTAATGATATCCGAGTGGACCTCCAAGATCTGCTTCCCCCAAAATCAGAATAACCAAACCAGCTGCCTTCAATCTGTTCTAACTCATGGTGACCCCATGCGTGTCAGAGTAAGCTGAACTCCATGGGGTTTTCAATGGCTGCTTTTTCAGAAGTAGATCACCAGGACTTTCTTCTGAGGTGTTCTGGGTGGATTTGAACCTCTAACCTTTTGGTTAGCAGCCAAGCACAATGATTGTTTGCACCACCCAGGGACTCCAAACATCCTAGGGGGCCCAGCTGGAAAGTATTTAGGAAACATTAGGGTTGTTCCTCTTATCTCTAAAGCACACCGTAATGATAGCAGCCCCTTGAGGATGAAGACCTGACTTTCAAACTGCCCACGGGCCCTGAACCAAGGGAAAGAGGTACCGTGACAGAGGCCAGGACAGTGCCAAGTACATCAGCTATGGCGTAGTCATTGTTGCCTCCTTGAAAGTGGGGGAGACTCACCTTTTCTGAGCATCAGTTTTGTTCCTGGTCTCACACTTGGTACTTTACGCACGTCATCTCATGTAGTTCTCACAATAGCGTTGCAAAGCCATTATCATCGTCTCCATTCTGCCAATAAGGAAGCAAGGCTTGGCCAAGCAGTTCACCCAAGGTCGACCTCTACTCAAAGCCAGTGCTCACATCCAGGTCCAAAGCCTATGTCCCTTACTCTTTGTGCAAAGAAGTGGCTTCAGCTTCCAGATTTCCAAAAGCCTCCTTGTTTAGGTCGGTTTTCCAGAAGCAGAGCCTGAGGGAAGGATTCAAGTACAGGTGATTGAATGGGGTGTGTCATAGGAGAAAGGAGTGAGGGCAGCAAGATAGAGCAGGGAGGAGCTGAGCAGAGGTGCGGTCTCAGTGGCCATCACTGCAGCCTGATCCCACAGGCACTCTGGAGTGGGACTTGCATCACAGTGTTCAGTCCATCTTGAGGCCACGTGGTCAGGTTCTCATACCTTTATACTGCGTGATGCATGTAGCCTCCCTCCTGAGAAAGGGACAGCTGTGGTCATCATCAATCAATGCCCCTCTGTCAATACAGCTCTGGCCGTTAACGGGACAGGCACACAGACCTCCACTACACTCCTTCAGGCTGTGTGAAGGGCACAGAGACAATCCCTCATTTTAGCCTTTCTGAGAAAGGGGGAGGGGCGAAGCAGGTAGACCAATAGAACTTCCTCAAATTAGCCAAGGTTGCCCTCTGGTGTTTACAATGGGGTACAGTGGGCTGCTGCTGAAGGAGGGGACTTGGCTGGGCAAGGTGGTGGTGTCCCTGGGAATGAGAGTGGGGGAAGGGTTCTCCCCTGCCTCACCCTGGACCCCCTCCCCCAGCATTACCCCCAGAGCTGCACGCCCAGGCAGCCCCGTGCCTCCTTCCTGCATTAACCACCTGCTCTTCTCTTATTGCAGTACCTATGTCCCCGTCCCCACAAAGATCAAGGTGAAAAAGGAGAAGGTGAGTTGATCCTTAAACTCTTTTATTGTGGTAAGCTCTGGTGGAGCAGCGGCTAAGTGCTCAATTGCTAACCAAAAGGTCAGCTGTTCAAACCCACCAGCCACTCTGTGGGAGAAAGACCTGGCGATCTGCTCCTGTAAAGATTACAGCCTTAGAAACCCTATGGGGCAGTTCTACTCTGTCCTAGAGCATCGCTATGAGTCGGAATCGACTTGACGGCAACAAGTTTCTATGTATATGTGTGTATATATGATATGTGTGTATACATGTTATGTGTGTATATATGTATATGAAGAGACCCGTTGCCGTCAAGTCGATTCCGACTCATAGCGACGCTCTAGGACAGAGTAGAACTGTCCCATAGGGTTTCCAAGGAGCAGCTGGTGGATTCGAACTGCTGACCTTTTGGTCATATATAAAACATTTGCCATTTCACCATTTTTTATGTATACAATTCAGTGACATTAATTATGTTCATCATGTTGTACAACTATCACCACAAATCCATTTCCAAATTTTCCCATCACTCTCAACAAAAGCTTAATGCCTTCTAAGCAATGACTCCTCTGTCTCCCTCTCCCTCCAGCCCTGGTGAACACTAATAAACTTCGCTGTCTATACATTTGCCTATTCTGGAGCTTTCATATAGGTGGGATCACGCAGTATTGGTTCTTTCGTGACTGACTTATCCTCTTTCTTGTAGGGGGTTAGGTCATTGTCCATCTCTCCCACTAGAATGTATGCTCCACGAACGCAGGGGGATTTGTCAGCTTGCTCACTGAGTGTCCCCCGTGGCTAAGACAGTGTATAGCCCATGACAGGGGCTCAGTGTCTCACTCACACTGTGTTCCACCCCTCTCCGCAGATCCTCATCTACCACCCGGCCTTCATCAAGTATGTCTTCGACAACTGGCTGCAGGGCCACGGGCGGTACCCCTCCACCGGCATCCTCTCTGTCATCTTCTCCCTGCATGTCTGTGATGAGGTACGCCCGCCAGGCTGCCCGACATGGGGGCTGGCCGATCCTTGTTCCCAGGAGAGGGGGTGAGGGCAGTGGTGATAGAATCCGTTGTCTGGCTAATCCAGATCCTCCCTCCAGTGACCAGGAGGATCCAGGCTTGGCCCTTCCCTTGGGGGTCCCAGGTTCGGTACCCCCACAGCAGAATTTGCCTCTCATAGAGGGGTTTTAAGGGGTAAGAACACATCTTCTGACAGTGTGGTTGGGAGGCGAGCGCTCCCCGCCATCTGCTCACCTGCTCAGGCTGAACCAGGGCTGGCGGCCGATTCTCAGATTTGAGGCAACATAAAGGAACAGGTTCTAGTAGGGAGAGCTGCCACAGGGGTGGTTCCCAATCATGGCTGCATGCTAGAATTACCTGCAGAGTTTTAAAAAATCCCGGTGCCCAAGCCATGCTCTGACCCAATTTCATCAGAATTGCTGGGCATGGAAACCAAGCATCTGTACTTTTTAAAGCTGCCAGGAAGTTGCTCTCTACCCCGAGGCTGAGGCCCAGCGGGCCTGCAAGGGCACGGGTTTCTCATCACACATCCTTGGTTTCCCCAACACCACACAGAGGGCTCCTGGAGAAGGCTTTGAACTTGGGTTTACTTAAACTTGCTGAGGTCTCCCCAAGCCCCTGGGGGTCCCAGGAACATAGAAAAGGGTGTTTACGAGTCCTTGCAAATCGTGTTCACGGTACTGCCTTAGTTCCCTAGTGTTTCAAGAACAGAAACACCGCACGTGGGTGGCTTTAAAGAGCAGACATATATTTTCTCACAGCACAGGAGGCCGGAAGTCCAAATTCAGGGTGTAGCTCGAGGGGAAGGTCCTTCCTTGTCCATTTCAGCTTCTAGGAGCTGCCGGCAATCCTTGGGGTCCTGGGCTTGTAGATGCTCTGTTTCCATCATCTGCTGTCCTCCACCCCATGTGTCTCTGTACCTATTCTGGTCTTTTTATGACTCAGAAGTGATTAGGTTTAGGATCTACCCTACACTGGTGTGATCTTGTTAGCTTAACAAAAGAAAACCCCTATTTCCAGACAGGGTCATATTTACAGGGACAGGAGTTAGGATTTCAACACATGTTTTGGGGGACACAATTCAGCCCGTAACAGGTAGCCTCGGACTCTGGGCAGACCTGAGGCTTCCTTTCTCAGAGGTTGTGCCCGCTGCCCTGTGGTCTGTTCTCACCTTGGCTTTGCCCCCTCAGGTGGACTTGTATGGCTTCGGGGCAGACAGCAAAGGGAACTGGCACCACTACTGGGAAAACAACCCTTCGGCAGGTGCTTTCCGCAAGACAGGGGTGCACGACGGAGACTTTGAGTCCAACGTGACGGCCATCTTGGCCTCCATCCACAAAATCCGCATCTTCAAGGGGAGATGATGCTGGGAAGGGCCAGGACCACTGCACCAGCTCGTTCCTCTCCGTCTCCAGCCCCCGCACCTCACCGGAGCCACCTTGTTCCAGGAGCTTCGAGGGCCAGCCTCACAGTGTGCCCAGGGACCTCTAGCAGGCATGTGTACCCCAATTTTTGGCAGCTTGCTCTCACAGGGTCACTGAGCTCTGCCAGGCTGCCCAGCAGGTCTTGGAATCGGCCATGAGTGAGAGAACATGGCCCTCAAGGCTGGGGAAGGTGGGGAGATGTTGGGCAAGGTTCACCTTCAAAACACCAAAGTCATGTTGGCTTGTAGAGGCAAAGGGGGTCAAATCCTGAAGACCCCCGATTCTGAGGGAAAGGACCATTTCCTCATGAGAATGGGCAGAGAGGCTTCCTCTGTGGAGGGGTCCTGGCTGACTTCAGCTCTGGTCATCCTTGGGATGTCCCTGGGTGAGGATTACTTATGGGGCAGAGCCACGGGCCCACATAGCACTGGGAAGGGATGATGCCTTCTTTTCTGGAGGCAAAGCCCGGTCCCTTGCTTGGCCAGATAAGCCCGTCTTCCCTTTCTTCCCCGAAGCTCGTTCATGACGGCCAGGAGACCTCCCCACCCCAAAGGTCTTCACAGAAACTTTGCAGGGTGCTTCTGGCTCCAGGAGACGTCTTCTTCCCAAATAGATGCTCCTTCGATTCACCCACCTTTGTCGTTACGATAGCTGAGAGCAGATTGGACTACTTCCATGTGCCTTCATATCGGGGAAGGAAATGAACGTGTGGGCTGAGATGAGGCAAAGCCCTGACTTGGACAGGGACCTCCATCCACAGCTACCCTTTCTCTGGAGCTGGGGTCATTGTTTCCATTTTAAAGACTGTTGGACTTGGCATCCATACCTTCCCACACTACGTAGGGGGCCTCCTTCGCCCGGCATCTTCCCCCAGAGCCTGGGCTCTGGACAAGTTCACACTGGCCAAATACATGGTGTCCTGGGGCTGAGAGGCAGGCAGAGGGACAGTGACTGACAGAGCAGGACACGTCATACCTCATCCTCTTCCTCCCTCATGCGTCTCTTTCTTCCTCTTCAGCCTTCCTGATTATTTATTGATTTTTTTTTTTAATTCAACTGAGATTTCGCGCACCCTGTGTTTCTGCTGCTGGTCTGGTGTCCTCATTCCGCTGGCTGTTGCTTCACCAGGCAGCTGGGCATTGGAAGCTTCAACGAAGGTTTGCCTGCACCCTCGGACCCAGGGTTTCCGGGGTATCTAGGACTTGGGAGAAATCCTGAGGCATTAGGTCGGTAGATTTGTGGAACGCTCTGTGCCCTGCCTTCCAGCCTAATCTTCTGTCTTGTTGCGGACTTGGATTCAGTCTCAGGCTAGAAATGTCCAGACACCTCACTGGGGACGGTGGTGTAGTGGGGAGCCAGCGATTGTCCCTCCAGTTTCTGACATTTAATCAGAAAAACCACGTTTCCCACTGAAAGCCTCTTCCTAGAAGGCTGTTGCTGCTTGGGGAGGCGCGACGGTTTCCTGGTGGCGTTTGCAGGCTGCCAGACTCGGAAGCCGCAGGCCTGCCTCCTCAGACCTCCGCTTTCTGGAAAGTTCTGTTCTCGTCAGCCTCAGTGTCTCCCTCTGCAAACCAGGAGGGAGGGATTATGGAAGCTCAGGCCCTTGGCCAGGGGCACTAATGGCTTCGGGCTGTTCACAAGAATCCCCAGAAATTACATGCTAAGCTTTTTTTTTTATTTTTTAATCTTTCTTTCTGAATCTGGGTATATGAGCATTTTTCTGGGGAGAGGTTCCATAGCTTTTATTTGCCAAGAGGTTCAGGATCCAGAAAATTAAAAAAAAAAAAAGTTCAGACTTTAAAATTCTCCAAAACGTAAGGCTCTCTTGACTGATAAAGGCTCTTAAGTGCTGTGAGGTCGTCATTTTGATCGTAAACCCTCAAAGTTGAGCTCAGCAAGCGTTGGTTGGTTGACTGACTAATTTCAGGAACAGGCCTTGAGATAAAAGCATACTTACATGGAGAGCAGTGTCAACTCCTGGACATCTCCCTTTTTCCTAAAAAACCGATTGCCATCAAGTTGATTCCCACTCATAGCTACCCTGTAGGACAGACTAGAACTGCCCCATAGGGTTTCCAAGGAGAGGCTGGTGGATTCAAACTACCGACCTTTGGTTAGCAGCTGAGCTCTTAACCACTGTGACACCAGAGCTCCCTTTTCCTAAAAGCACAGTCTATTTAGGGACAAGGGGTTCAGGCTCAGCATCTACTTACGTGGGTTTTCCTGAGTAAGAAAGAGAAGGCCCTATAAAGTGCAGACGAGTCCACGTCGAGCTGGGTGCCACCTGGGTCAGCTTCCTGGTCTCAGTCAGCTCTCTCCCTCCTTCTAGAACATTAATGCTATGGGAGACCACCTAGCCCCCCGTTTTACAGATGAGAAAACCAAGGCCCAGATAATGGAAGTGACTTGCAAAAGTGAACCAGTCCTGACAAATAACACAATTCAAACAGGTTTTGATCAAGGATAAAACGTTATTGGCTCCATGTCTGAAATGTCCAGCCATGGGTTTTTCTAGCAAGGCTGTATCCAGCACCCTTCACCCCCAAATGTAACCAAAATGTAGGTTTCAGATTCTCTGCCCTGCCTCCCACCACTAAGCTTCACCCCCAGGCTGCCCGTGGTGGCCCTTAGAACCGCCAGGCTCTATCATCAGCCCCAGTACCTTCCCATGGAGGCGAGAGCTTTCTCTTTCCTGACGCCCCGGCAAACATCTCTTTGTATCCCAGTAGCTTAACAACGGGCACTTAACTAAATAAAAGCCAATAATTGTGGCAAGGACGAAATGCATCAATTGGCCTAAGTCATCCCAGGGGTGAGGGTGGCTGAGAATCAGGCAAGGGAGTGTCTCAAAGGGCATTTGGCATGCTGTGGTTAGGAGGATGCTGGGGAGGTGCTCATGTGTCTTCCATAGTCAGAGTTGGGGCACCAGCAGGATGCCCACTTGGGCCCCTGCAGCCCAGCCCAAGGCTCTGTTCACTCTTTCGGCAGGGAGATCCTTAGGGACCAGCCCAGGGCCCTGGGCAGAGGAGTCCTTGTCCTTATCTGCAGCCAATGTGCTGGACCTGAAGCCTCAAAGGCAGACCCGGTGAGGGTGACCCAAAGACCTCAGCAACATACCAGCCTTCAGTGCCCCCTCGCAGGCCTGGGCCCTGGTTTCATGGAGCTGGAGCCCCCTGCAGCAAAGCCAACACCTGCCTCGCATCCCTGGGGGCCCCTCCTTCCCCATGCTCTGCTTTCACCTCCTTTTGGGATTTGTAGCGTCTGGCTCTGCAGAGGGATTTGGGCAGGGAAGAAGGTCTTTAAATTGATACCTCTTGAAACTCTGGCTTTGTCAGGCATTATCAAGCAAGCCGTACGGGCTGGGCTTCGTGGAACATTCCAGGAACGAGCAAATAGGGCATCAAATATGGAAACCAGACAACAGGTGGACAGGATCCGGATGATTCTCATAGCGAGGGGGCTGATGCAGAGCCCACAGTGGGCCCCTGTCCCTGCTTTGGGCAGGGGCGCTAGTAAAGGTCAGCTCTACCTCCATGTGAATTGAGCCCCCGGGCCAAATGTGGAATGTTCAGGACCTCAGAGGATACTTAGAACTGTGATGTTCGCTGTAACTGTTCCCTCAAGGTGACCCAAACACGAAGAAAAATGGAAGAAAAGAATGCACATTCCCTCACATGGTTATGGTCAAGTGCGCTTTCTCCAGGGATGCCCACAGCGCTTAGATGGCTGAATGCCCTCCATGTGCCATCGGGGCCCAGCAACTGCCTTCACTCCTCTGGAGAGCTCAGTGATATTAGCCCCTCCCCCTTGGCCCTCTGGTTTCCAGCAAACACGGCCATATGCCAACCATCTGGTCAGCCCTGGAAATCCTCCTCTTGTTTCTCATGAAAACACCACCTGTCCTATCTTTGGGGGGCTTCGCGACACCTCCATGCAAAGAGACAAATGGGGAGTGTCTTAGTTACTTAGGGCTGCCGTACCAGAAATGCCACAAGTGGGTGTCTTTAAAGAACAGAAGTTTATTTTCTCGAAGTTCTAGCATCTGGGAGTCCAAATTAGGGTGTCAGTCACATCGATTCCTTCTGTGAGCCTCTCTGTTAATTTCTCGTGTCTGTGGCAATCCTTGGTGATCCTTGGTGTTCCTTGCCATCCATCTCTCTTCCCGCTGTGTGTCTCTGTGTCTGTTCGGGTCTTTTTATAACTCAGAAGTGATTAGGTTTAGGATCCACCCTACACTGGTATGACTTCATAACATAAGAAAAGAAAAAGCCCTATTTGCAAACAGGATCATGTCCACAGGGACAGGAGTTAGGATTTCAACACACGTTTTGGGGGACACAAGTCAACCCATGGTGGAGTCAGAAGGAAAAGCAGCAGAGGCGGGCACAGAGCGTCTCGTGGTGGATCCATATCAGGGCATTAACAGTTTTGTTTTTCTCACCAAAAGAGCACTGGATTTCCTATAAGAAGCAAGACTGCCCTCCCAGCCCATCCGATGTACCCACGTGCATGCTGAAACCATGTCCACTGCTCAGCCTTCTAGCACAGTACAGAATCACTCACCTGCAAATGGTCCTGAGCCCAGACGTCAGCTTTATCCCGAGCCTGTGTCAGGAGCCCCCGTCCCCGGGTCAGGAGCCCCGCCCCCGGGTCAGGAGCCCCGCCCCCGGGTCAGGAGCCCCTCCCCGCCGGGATGAACTTGGCCTCATCCCTTTCTTGTGCAGAATCGCGTCAGCACCTCCCTGAATTCCCTCTCGAAGCCAAAGTTTCTTGAGCACTTTTCTTCTTCGCAGTCCTGTTTGTTTTGTTGTTGGTGTTTTGCAATCTGGTTTCTCTCTCCTCCCGGCCTCTCTCGTGTTTGCTTCACAGCTGAGCGTTAAATCTGGATGCATTTTGAATGAGGTTAGCAAGAGTCCACCTTCCTTGGCCCCTGCTGTATTTATTGTTAAAAATTTCCAGTGATCAGAATCAGAGTGAATAAAGAGAAGAGCTATTTTATCTTTTGGGTGTGATTGTCGTTTTACTACAAGGGCTGGGCGTTGGTGCTGCCCTACTGTTTCCGTTTGAGAAATCTCAGTCATAACACGGTGCAATGTTCTGTCTGCCGAGGGCCCCCTGTGGGACTCTTCGCCCCTTCCAAGTGTCCGGAGGCTCAGGAGATGGAGCGTTAGCATCAGCACCTGAGGGGCAACTCCACAAACGCAGCTCCGCCACTCGCTGCTGTGCGACTGTGCCAACTTGCCTAACCTCTCTGAGCCTCAGTTGCCTCATCTGTGAAATGGGCCTGGCAATATCGACCTTCAGAGGGGGTACCAGATAAAGAATGGAAAGCGTCTGGCTCCCGGGAGCCGGAGTAAACACCAGCCGATCCGAGCGTTTATGGAATGAAGTCACCTTAGGCCAGGGCCCAATGCCGGCAAGTTAGGGCCCCTCGGCCTCCCTGACAGGTGGGCTCATGGCACGTGGACAGAAGCCTGGTCCAACGTTGGCACACATCTCCCATTTGGGATTTTTTAAATAATCCAGAAACCCAGTATGGTCCGGGGCTTCTGCGTGAGGAAACAGATGCAGAGAGTTTAGAGTCAGTTGAGGGCAGATGCGGGATTCAAACCCAGGCCTTCTGGGCTCCGGCTCTGGGCTTCCTGTCTACTCTGCTACCTCCCAGCTAGTCTCTACTCAGCCAAGAGAAACTTCCCCAAGTCCATCTGAGGAGTTTGTTGGTGGTGACCTTTTGAAGGCAGCCCACCGAGGCATGATGTTAGAGATTAGCTCAGGTGCCCTGGGGCCAGCTTACCTGCGTTCGTACTGACGAGCTGTGTGAGTTTGTCCAAGTTACCTAACTTCTCAGTACCCAGTCTCCTTAGGCGTGAAGTTGGGATGATGTCATCGCCTACCATATAGACATGCATTAAGGATGAAGTGAGTTCACACATGCAAAGGGCTGAGAAGAGAGCCTGGTATACAGCAAGCCTTCAATAAATGCTGTTACAGTGAAACCTCTGAGAACCGGAACGCGACAGGACTGCCTGTTTTTCCGGATCTTGCAAGATTTCCGCCTTTGACAGGGTACAGTCACCGCTTTTCTGTTGCTCTTATTAGTGGAAAATATTTGAGTTTTCCTTCTCTGACAGGTTTTCGCCTTACACGGGTTCTGGCTTTCACAGGTTTTACAGTATTACATTGAACACGTGAGGGAGAAGGAGCTGCCAGTAACATTAGGAAACAGACAGCGAGGTCCTGCTGGGGCACCCAGTCTGATTTCTTTGGCCCCTTCTTCTCCCTCCTTACATCTCTCCTTCTGCCTCCTCTGCCTTCCCCTTCCCCCGGCATTGCTGGAACCCTTCATGTCACCTCTGTATCTTCTCCAAGCTGTTTCTTCCACTCTAAAATCCCCTTTCTGACTCTCCCCATCACAACTTCTCTTTCCTCACCTACCAGAGCCCCGCTCATATCTACAGTTAACATGCTGGCCCATTCCTCCACTCCACGTACCTAACTGTGGAGCCAGCTGACTCATGATGACCCCAAGTGCGTCAGAGTGGAATGGAGCTCTGTAAGATTTTCAAGGCTGATTTTTCAGAAGTAGCTTGCCAGGGCTTTCTTCTGAGGCACCTCTGGGTAGACTTGAACCTTCAGCCTTTTAGTCAGCTGCCCAGCATGTCAACTATTTGAATCACTTAACTTCTCCCCAGATTCCCTTCTGGTTGACCTTATGTTGAAGATACAATGCGGACAATCAGCCACTGGGTGGCAACACACTGCAGTTGGGCCTGATTGGGAACGCTCGGCTGGGTGGGAGCTCCCAAGTGCCCAGCTGTCCTGCCGCCTGCACACCACGTCCTGGTCTTAGCTGGAGCCCCTAGAAGGGAAAGAAAATAGCAAGGTACCTCTAGGAGAAGAGCCCTGGTGGCACAGTGGTTAAGAGCTCGCCTGCTAACCAGAAGGTCGGCAGTTCAAATCCACCAGCTGCTTCTTGGAACCCCGATGGGGCAGTTCTCCTCTGTCCTGTAGGGTGGCTATGAGTTGGAATTTACTTGATGGCAACGGGTTCGGTTTTTTGTTCTGTTTCGTTTTTATCTCTGGGGAGAGCCCTGAGGATCCTTTCTTCAGTACCCTCTAGGCACCTGCTTGGATTCAGGGCCCAAGGAGCAAAGCCCACCCACTTCTGCACCTTCCGGCCCTCCCATGAAGGCAGGTCCTCCCAAAATCTGGTCTTGGGGGCCCTGGAAAAGACCTGCTAAGAAGACCTTTCAAGCTGCTCCAAACACGTGCTTGGCTGTTCAACAAAGAGCTCCCCAAACCAAAAAACCCACTGTCATTGAGTCAATTCCCACTCATAGTCACCCCATAGGGTTTCCAAGGCTGTAAATCTTTACGGAAGTACAGTGCCACATCCTTCTCCTGCAGAGCCACTGGCAGGTTCCAGCTGCCAACCTTTTGGTTAGCAGCCAAGAGCTTTAACCACTGCACCACCAGGGCTCCAAAATGGAAACCTACCCACAATGGCCCTAGGGGGATCAACGACCTTGGTGTTACCAGCACCACACTCTAACCAAATGAGCCAACTGGCCACCTGGCAACAAAGAGCTAATGGACTGAAAAAGAAGTTCCTGCACTTTCTAATTTCTTTTTACTTTATCAGGACTTCAAAGTATGCAGAAGAATTAAGAGGAATAGTTTCCACTGACATCCCCTCATTTGTTCTTTTTCTTTCTTTTTTGTTGTTGTGATTTTCTGTTGCGTTTAAGAATACATGTCAGATGCCACTTGGCCACTGTGTGCATGAGTGAGCCAGAAATTTAGCTATCCTGCCTACCTGCGGAAGGTCCCTGGGTGGTGCAAACGATATGTGCTCAGCTACTAATCTAAAGGTTGGTGGTTTGAAGCCACCCAGTGGTGCCACAGAAGAAAGGCCTGGCAATCTGCTTCTGTAAAGATCACAGCCAAGAAAACTCTATGGAGCTTCATTCTACTCTGTAACACATGGGATCTCTGTGAGTCAGAATTGACTAACAACAGCAGGTTTGCTTTTTTTGGCCTGCCTGCAACACCCCTAACAAAGGCAGCAGGGGCCCTGGGGCGCTCTGAAGACTGATCCGTGAGGGGACCTCCTGGTTGTCCTCAGAATGTTTTTGACAGCTGGTTTATTTATACCAGGGTTCACATTACAAAAAGAAGTATGTATAAATGTATCTGTTCAGAGGTGCATCCCTTACTAAGTGACAGAGGTCACCTGAGTCCAGAATATCTATGCTCTAGGGGACCTTGAGAGGAACGGTCTGGTGAATACCGGATCTCTTTGCCCACCAAGGAAGGGCCAGCCATGCTTCTGCTTTGTTCACCTACTCAACACCCAAACAAGCACTTCCAAGGATCAGGTTCAAATACCTCAAACTCAGTACCCACCCATGGAAGCGATGATGATAATATATTCCCCCTCTCTCTAATGCTGGACCTATCCAAACCCTGGAGCCCTGGATCAAGGTGAAGCCACTTCCACACTCCAGAAGGCAGAGCTCTCTTGGTGGTCTTCAGCTGAAACATTGGGTTCTCATACCAGAGCCAGTACGAGTACTTGTTAAATTAGCTCCAACTCATGGCGACCCCATGTGTGTCAGAGCAGAAGTGTTCTCCATAAGG